AGTAGGAGACGAGTCCCGGGTGGAAGAAGAGATTACCGAAAGGTATCAATTTTTCATTTGACAAAGAGCAAGATTATGAACTACACTTATCATTTGTTGAAATTTTGGAGATCATTTATCAATGTTTCGCATTTAGTTACGCACAGACTGTCATTCTGAGTAGCTTTCAGTATGAGTTTGCAGAGAAGTCCACCTGTTTAATTTACCACATTCCATGTAGCACACGAAGGTAGAGACATAAAACTAAATGGAAGTTTAACGAGAGAAAATGTGAGGGAGAATAAATAATGACAAGGAAAAACATGAGTTGAATAGATATGTGAGATTACACAGAGTGAATGCACCAGTACCAGTACCAAAGATTTGCAGTCACATCTCCGGTATTTCTTCCAGCCGACTGTCAACAATTTTATGAACCAATATCACTTTTTCATTTGACCGACCCAAACGCATTTTAAACCTTAACATGTGCTGGTCAGCATTGTCCCTGGAGGAAGGCGATGGCTTAGTATGCCAGCACGTGTTCTAGCCATCTCAACCTATTCAGCTTCCCTACCTTGAAGGCTAACTAACCCTCCCCACCTAAACATTTATGCGTAACCTCAACAGCACTCGCCATATTATACTGCTTTACTGATGAGATAGAACGCGGACACCTATAATCAAACACCGGTATTATTTTCATATTTTACAGCATCAGGGGTTACTTCTCATAGTCTAGGTGGACAATATCATCAGCAAACCGTAAGGTGATGAGAATATTCCCTGATAAGTCTTTGAAGTCAATTACAGACTATCATATTATTATATGTGTGATTGAATTGAACTGTTATAAGGATGACAGTTTAAGAATTCAGCTTTGTATTACATCCCACTCGGAAATGTGTTTTCTCGGATAATTCGCAAACAGTATTCAGTGAACAGAAAACATTCTGTAGGCTTGATGAAACTCGTAAACTGACGCACTACTTTTGCAGGCAATATACTATTTCCTCAATAAAGTGAGAATTGAATACTTCGGCTGCATAAAACGAGTAAGTAGTATTCTGGCAATACCAATGACTACAACAAGTCTAGGAGTTAAGCACTACAACTTTTACTTTACTGAATACACCAGCAGACTTTACATAAACACTTGACAGATCAAATTTATACAGGGAGTCAGTAAGATTTAGTAAACTAAAAGTGCTTTCGGTTTCCACAGGAGTTCTCCGTGCCGAATTTATTCCTTCAAGGGCCTACAAAGATTAAAACTTCAATTAAATAACACTGATGTGGAAGAAATTCCATTCTTCATTACTACACTTAATGAAAATGAATAATGAAAATGGAATGCACTAAGAACTCAGTGCAACTCGATACACAATAGTATATATACAAATAAACTGAAAAATAATGCCCTCCTTACCTTCTAAACAACTTGTCTTTATTCCAGGATTATAGTTTTTCACGTATGAGCCTGAGTTATGTCTACGAAATCGCAATATTACATCAGTTAAATCTTCCCCGAAAACCAAGGCCACTTGAAACCAATAGCAACATAGCAACAAGCGTCATTGAGGGGATATGCAATAAAGTCGCTCAAATTTTACACAGAGTAAAAGTAATAATATCTGAGTGATTATACAAACGAATTTACACTGTTTCTACAAGGAAAATTTTGTAAAGTGGTTATAAAGGGCGCAGTATAATAATAATATCAATTTATATTTCGAATAAATGGGTAAGTTTACAGGAAATGAATGCTGTCTTTACAGGCCCGACCAGTTATGTCAGAAATTACACTCTTCAAGTATCGCAAATTAATACAAGATTTTAAATTGTTCGATAATGCTACAAGCGATCAGAACAGGTTCTTATGCATGTCAGACTCTAAACCTCCAATAAGGTCACCATCAAAGTTGAATGACAACCCAGACTTCATTAGGTTTCCTGCCAACAATTATGTTCAACCAGTGAACAGAGTATATTTAGGCAAGTGCCATGCTACCACTTGATTAGAAGCTATTTTAGGAAGAGAAGAATGTTTTGGAAAGCTGTTAAATGGCATAAAATACAATTAACGATAATACATCAATGGAAGGAGGTGGAGGCTCTTTGGAAAGATAATTTAGATGCTAAAGGTATTCACGTTCACGGATAGTACGAAGCATACTAACAAAAGATCGAACAACCACAACCTCTGTGGTATTCTTTCCGCGTAGACCAAAAGCAAAGCAAAACACCAGAATTTATCATCCAAATTGCGAGTTGAACTTCGAGGCCAAATCGGAGTGCGAGGTGATTGCTTCCACATTTCTTCACCTTTTCCTTTGTTCTTGATATCTCTGGACTCCTTTCATCGAGATCTGTAGCTTGATACCCATTTCGACACTGTCTCTGACACTTTTAACTTCTGAAAACCGACGTCCTTCCATTACGTCATCATCATGTTCATTTTGTTGCCTTTCACAAATTGTTGTAACTTCCACATTTCTTCACCATTTTCCGTTCTTCTTGGTACCTCTCAACTCCTCTCTTCACACTCTTTTGACCTATAGTCATTTTGACGCTGCATCTCCTTCGTATTGGTTTAGAAAGTGGACTCCTTCATGTCGTCGGTGGCACAGTGGTTAGAACTCTCGCTGACCATGCACATGGTCTGGGGTTCGATCCCCTGCCGACACATACCTGATATCTATGGTCGGCCTGCCAAATTTGGATTACCGATATCCATGCTGAAAATGCCATACTTTTACCAAAAATGTGGTGTGGAATCAAGCTGTAATCAAAAATAAAAAACAAAATAACCATGTCCTCCCCCTCATTCATTTACGGCTTTCTTTTCTGCTTCAATCCCAAAGTGATTACGTGGAATCTTTTATGATAGTATTTTTTAAATTCTTTTTGTTTTTTTGGTGTAACCGTTTGTCAAGCCACGGGTGGGGACCTATGAAGGGTCCTTGGCACAGCTAACAGTCCATCGTTGGTTGTTCTCTACACTCCAGCCCGCGATACCGCATTCTCCAGTCATGTCAGCTGTGTCAAGCCAATCCTCATCACAATCCATTGCCTCTGCCATGGTTCAAGCTGACCCTCAAACAGCAGCCTCCTGTTTTAATTTCTTCATCTCCTAACTGCAAGCAGCTCATCCTTCGCCCACCACATCCGATCCGTCACTGCCTAGCTCCGCGCGGTCCAATCAATCCCTATCCTCAATCGTGTCTCCAAGATTCATTTGTATATACTGTCCTTCAAACGTCGCTTCTCCGAGAGGTTTATCTCAACATCTGCGCGAAGTCCACCCAGCCGAATAAAATGAGGTCCTTCTTGGTTGCCTCCTCATCGAAAGTCGAACGCGACGGAAATGGTCTCAAAACGAAGAGCTCACCCTACTGATGTTAGCAGACGCAGCAGTCGACCGATTCAACAGCAAAGTTGAACTGTATCAACACCTACACAACCATCTGCCACATCGCTTGGTTGAAGCCATCAAATGCCGTCTGCAAACACTCAGATGGATGACATCTGCCCCATCATCGTCGCGCTCTGCATAAACAATTGACTCCTATTCGACTCCATTCTCACTTGCATCATCACATGAAAGCTATGCTATTAGATCAGCACTGTATATACGTCCAAGACCTCAAACCTCGTACGCTCAAGAAGACGCTGGATTGATATCAAGTGCCAGATGTCTGGGTTCCCCCTCACTTGCGCCTAAACAGTTCATCGCCCTTGCCGCTGAAACCATTGGCAACCGCATGTCAATGTCCAGGTCTTACTACAATGGACCTCAAGCTATCCTTGGAAGACTTTCAGAAGCGATGTGTAATAATTTACACGTAAAACCAGAACGCAAATTGGTGACTCAAGATACCTTTATTCTTGCACCAATACAGAGCCAACCATTAAGTTATTGTACACAAGGTCTAAGAATAAATGTTATGACAATAAATCACGATATTACTTCTGATAGTTTTCTCTCCTCCGACGAACAGCGAACGATGAAACGATGACTGATGGATTTATGACTCCCGCGAAAAATATGGAGTTGGGTTTGAGCAAGCAACCATGAATTGATCGTTCAATCTTCAACTACATTGACACTCCCCGGTAAAAAACGGATCCATCCCTTTTTTCCTTCACGACCAATACACGTTGAATTGGATGCCATTGCGAGAACCTGTGTCACACGGACAGAGCTGTAATGGAAAACAAACAGAAAAGCCAACACACCACAGGCATACCCACAACACAATCTCACTCATCGACGACGACATGCGCCTTCCAGTTGAAGGCATCCTCTTGACACATCCTCTTGCAACACAATCGCCACTTGCTAGAATGACTCTTGCAGAAAACGACGTGACCATAGCAGCACTTAATGACACTCTTCGCACATCCTCCCATCTATTCATTAACAATTACCACTGCGATCGCTTGTCACTCATTCTGCCTTAGTCCTAGTAATGGTGACTAAACAATGATTTAAGTTTGACTTTTCGCCAATGCCTATCTCAAAAGTTTAAAAGCCATTGAATCTTTACACTGTTATTACTACTGATATTATATTTGTGTCAACTTCAAATTTTATTAGCTGTCTGTTTCTACTTTTTCTTTATTTCTTCCGTCTTTTAATGTGCATAACTTATATTGATTATATCTGTTGTTATCTCTTTCCTTCTGTCGACGACACAGAATGACTAACTAGTGAAAGGATCAACTCCATTGACAGTGGCAACAAGGTCTTACCACGCCACATACTACAAACAACACAATTAATCTCAGCACCACTCCTTTTGGAGTCAACCAAAGCTACGACAGTTGAGTTTCAGGACAGACTACGCAGAAGTTAACTAAAGACCAGGAACCTTTACCTCACGACCAAGAAGCGGGAAGAAAGAAGTCAAATTAGTTCAAACTAGCATATGAAAACCACATTGGACATTGAAAATCATAGGCGTTTATACACAATATACGCTACACTTAAAGGCGTTTATTTGTGAACTAGACTGTTAATGTCACGTGGTGTTTCCGCAGTAAGGATTTTGTTACTTGGAGAACGTAAGTCTAGAACAGTTTTGACACTCCTTTGCAAATGAAACGTCAAAATGTTTTGCATTATATTGCGAAACGTCTGGGTGTGGTCAAGAAATCATAGGATTTTATACAGTATGACATTACTTCCGAAATCCAGGATACATGCATTATATTTTTAAACCCCTTGAACCACTTCTTAGATGAATTTTAGATTTTTCGTTGGATCACAGAAACCTCTAAGCTACAGAATCATTCGGAAATATATTATAATTATTTCCAAAATCTTGTTTTGTTTAAGTTTCCTTGATAGAAAAACGTATATGTGCTGCTATTTTGTTATAGTTTTTTGGACTTTAATGGGAACTCGATCTTTTAGGTCTTTTGGTACATATGTAGGGGACTAATATTAGAGTTCACTAACATTCCAAGTATAAAAGTAATAATCCAAGTCAGTGGAGTGTTAAATCACAATATATTACCAAAAATACAGTGACGAGTTATAGCAACAAAAAGGATTACTTGGTTATAAAGTGTAAGTCCTCGGCTACAAATTAATTATATAATCCACAGGCACGTTAACTGTTGGGACTGCGTCTGCTGTAGCTGCTGTGTCCCGGTTGTAGAAATGTCTTCGGATGAAAGTTGTAGGCTCCTACAATAAATCCAAAGTTACAACACGGTGTGAGTGGAGCAAGCAAGTAGAGGTGACCAGGGAGAAGACGAAGTCTCCAACAGCAGAGTGTATTTTTTTCAATGGTACACGGAAATTATTTATATTTCAACAAGAAGCGTTTTAAACAAAAATTATGTACAATATCTCGAATTTATACAAGTACCTAAAAAGTGTACAATCACATTGTTACGTACTCAACACATATGACCTGTTGATTAAGGTTTGACATTGATCTTTGTGTTCTGTTCTCGACTTGATATCGGAGTTTCAGAAAGATTGACTCTTTGATTCTTGTTTGAATGACGGATTAATTGGAGATGACTAAAACATGCTTGTTACAAGAAGGGTCGACAGAATAAGAGGTATTTTGGGTGCATGTTAAACGGCAAAAGCAGAAACATAAACGAATCACAGAACATTATGATCTCCAGTCATCTTCTTAACAATTTCACGACATTTATTAATCATTAATTCTGATTAATTGCTCAAGTTCACTGATAAAACCAAATAGGAGTGGATTTCATGACTTAACATCACCGATAAAAGTCATATTAAGTTTGGAGGCTTATTCTGAAGTATCATCGGTTCGTGTATCACTTCTTGAGTTATGTATCAAACTTTTAACTCCACTGATTACACACTTAGTCACTTTTCAGTATATCTAGTACTTTGCAGGAGTAAAGTTTCAAACAGCACATCTTTTGGCCTTAATCTTATATGGGTTTTAGTAAACAGAAAAGGTTATGAGAGTGAAAAGTGACTAAGTTAATATAATGTATAGAATTCGAATGTAAAGGTATGGATATATTTTCAAAACTATACTGCGTCATCGAAAAATACACAAGTAATTTGAACTTAACGTATGAAGGCGACTTACACTTTCTTGATCCAGACAAATAGTAAATATGCTGATGTGTTAGTGTGTTAATGGACTTAACCCTAGGTGACTTCAGCGACTCAGGGATTGACTTGCTACCGGGGAATAATCTCGTTGACTTGGAATATGCAGACGATATAGTCCTTCTAGGCGAAGACGCTGACGAAATGCAGAGTCTTCTAAACACCTTGAACAGCAATCTACGAATGTTTGGCATGCGATTCGCTCCCGCCAAATGCAAGATGATGTTACAGGACTGGACTACATCGACGCCTAGTTTAAAAATAGGAAGTGAAGTGGTAGAGCACGTTGACCGCTTCACTTATTTGGGAAGTACCATCAGCCCCAACGGGCTGATCTCTGACGAAATCTCAGCACGAATACAAGGGGCTCGTTTCGCATTTGTTAGTTTACGCCGACTCTGGCGTAGACGAGATGTTCGACTATCGGCCAAAGCGCGGGTGTACTGCTCATCAGTCCGCTCCGTCCTCCTTTATGGTTGTGAGACCTGGCCACTCAGAGTGGAAGACATGAAAAGACTAGCTGTCTTTGATCATAGGTGCCTGCGTTCTATTTCCCGTGTAAAGTGGCATAATAAGGTGAGCAACATTGAGGTTAGGCGTAGAGTTCTAGGTAAACAGGGGAAATCAATCGACGAAGTCGTGAAGCTACAAAGACTGAGATGGTTAGGACATGTGTTACGTATGCCAAGTCATCGCCTCCCTCGACGAGCTATGTTAGCGGATATAGGGTCAGGCTGGAAAAAAGCTAGCGGCGGTCAAACAAAAACTTGGCATCAGTCAATGAAATCCTGTCTGTCTGTCTGTCTGTTTTCGACATAGAACTTTGCACAAATGTGCGGAAGTTCAAGTCGCCACATTCCGTGTAGCACGCGAAGCAAGAGAAGAAAGTACAAGAAAAGCATAATAGAAACAGTGAGCAGAGGTGTGAGACAAAGGAGTAATAAAGAAATACAAAACAGTTTCATTGAAGATCATAAGTCACAGGGAGTGGATGCATCTGCGCCACTGAGAACGATTTTGAGCCATGTCACCAATTGTTTCCAACCATAGATTTTTACCGTCCCGAGGACCCCAGCCTGGAAGTCTACACCTTCCTACGTGGCTTAGACCAACTGTTGTGGATTTCATTGACTGATGCCAAGTTTTTGTTTGACCGCCGCTAGCTTTTTTCCAGCCTGACCCTATATCCGCTAACATTGCTCGTCGAGGGAGGCGATGGCTTGGCATACGTAACACATGTCCTAACCATCTCAGTCTTTGTAGCTTCACGACTTCGTCGATTGATTTCCCCTGTTTACCTAGAACTCTACGCCTAACCTCCATGTTGCTCACCTTATTATGCCACTTTACACGGGAAATAGAACGCAGGCACCTATGATCAAAGACAGCTAGTCTTTTCATGTCTTCCACTCTCAGTGGCCAGGTCTCACAACCATAAAGGAGGACGGAGCGGACTGATGAGCAGTACACCCGCCCTTTGGTCGATAGTCGAACATCTCGTCTACGCCAGAGTCGGCGTAAACTAACAAATGCGAAACGAGCCCCTTGTATTCGTGCTGAGATTTCGTCAGAGATCAGCCCGTTGGGGCTGATGGTACTTCCCAAATAAGTGAAGCGGTCAACGTGCTCTACCACTTCACTTCCTATTTTTAAACTAGGCGTCGATGTAGTCCAGTCCTGTAACATCATCTTGCATTTGGCGGGAGCGAATCGCATGCCAAACATTCGTAGATTGCTGTTCAAGGTGTTTAGAAGACTCTGCATTTCGTCAGCGTCTTCGCCTAGAAGGACTATATCGTCTGCATATTCCAAGTCAACGAGATTATTCCCCGGTAGCAAGTCAATCCCTGAGTCGCTGAAGTCACCTAGGGTTAAGTCCATTAACACATCTATGATGAAGTTGAATAGAAAAGGAGATAATGGGCATCCTTGACGGACACCACTGGTCGTCATCAGTTCAGATGACAGCTCGCCGTAAGCCCTCACCTGGCTGTATGAGTACGAGTAGAGTGCCTTAATCAGTGCAATATATTTTCTTGGAATTCCCTTTACAGCCAAGCATCTCCAGAGAACTTCCCGATCGACAGAGTCGAATGCTGCCTTTAGGTCAAGAAATATAATGACTGTTGGACGCCGGTAGGAATGCCTATGTTCTAGAATCTGTCGGAGGGTGAAGATATGATCAATACACCCTCTTCCTGGTCTAAAGCCTGCCTGGCTCTCTCGTGTTTGTGCTTCCCGAGCACCACTCAGTCTACGCATGATTATTGAGCCTAAGACTTTAGATACTATATTAGTCAAGCTAATCCCTCTGTGATTATCACAGGAAGACTTGTCTCCCTTCTTGTATATGGGGATAATCAGTGACTTACACCAACCCGATGGGACTTCTTCTGATTCCCAGACGCTGCCTAGTACCTCAGTTAATCCGGACAGTAAGCTGTCTCCACCGTACTTAAATACCTCTGGCGTCATTCCATCAGGTCCCGCTGCTTTGCCTAGTTTCAGATTGGTGACAGCTTTAGTAACCTCAGTTAGTGACGGAGGACCTGTGTTTATATCCCATTCAGGGAGGTGTTGGATGCTCGGAAGGTTGAGCGTGGCTGTGGGCAAATTAAACTGCTCCTCATAATGCTCTTTCCAACGATCCAGTCGTCTATCCTGTGAGCTAATTATAGTGCCATTTTTTTCCGAGATTGTCTCACTAATGATTTGTCTTCTCCCACCCGTTTCCCTGATGAGTCCAAAGAGTTGCCTGGTGTTGCCTATCCTCAAAGCTTTCTCCATCTCTTTGGCTTTTGTCGCCCACCACTGTTCACGGTCCTTGCGGAGACTTTTCGTAAGTTTCCTCTTGTGCAGCTTTCGCTCCTCATTGAATTCGGAGCTCGCCGGAATAAGTCTTCTAGCATCTATCAGTTCGGATGAGGCGGTGGAGATCCAGTGGTTTTTACTCACCTTTGGGTTTACCTTATTCACAGCTTTTACAGCTGTATCTATGGCTGCCTGGATATTTTTCCAAGCTTCTTCAGGGTGAGCACAGCTGTCGAACACAGATATGTGTTTAGCTAGTTCTTCCTGAAATACGGATTTAGTTTCCTGATCGAGCTGGGGACGTGATGGTTTTACCGCCAGCTGTTTCCTACGTCCGTTCAGTCGTAAGCACACCCGAGCGCGGACCAGTGCATGGTCGGTATCTACGCACGTGTTCCAGAAGGAGCGACAATCTCCTACCGACCCACGCCAACGATAGCTTATTGCTATGTGGTCTATTTGTGTCCAGCGTTGGTTTGATGAAGGGGGTCTCCAAGTCAAACAGTGTCTCTCCTTGTGTTTGAAGTTAGTGCTTACAAGAAACAAATGATTATCAGAGCAGAACTGTAGGAGACGGTCACCGTTGTCGGTTCGCTGGCACGGAACTCCATAGGTGCCACCGACATCCTTCTCAGATTGA